ACTCTGGGCGTTGGGGAGTGTGGGAAGGCAGGAGCCTGAGGCGAAGCCGGGATCCACGAACCTCTCGCACCCCTGGAAGGGGAGGGGAGAGTGAAACAACTCCCCCCTCCCTGTTAAGGCGTTGGGGTGCTGCAGCAGGCTGGCCCGCAGGTAAGGCTGCTTGGGGCCCGGGCGAGAAGAGGGTGAGGGCAGGGGAGGGGGGGGGAAGGGTGTCAGGCATACAAACCCGGACGGGGCGGGGAAGCAGGGTGGGAACCCGGTTCTTCGGGTTTAGAGCAGCGGGGAGGGCTCAGCCGGGGCTCACTCGTCAGGTAGGTGAACAGAAACTAGGGGCGGCAGCTTGGGGCGGTGGTGTGCGGCTCCTGCGTTTTGGCCGCTGTCAGACCTGATGCGGGCGGGCAAGGGGCAGCCGGGACCGCCCCAGCCCTTTCGGGCCCGCACGCCGGGCTCGATCCATCACCCCCGGCCCGCAGGCCTGCGGGAAGGTGCCGTTCACGCCTGGGTCCTGAGTGGGAACAGCGGAAGAAGGGGGAGGAAGAGAGAAGGGAAAATGTCCTCAAATCACAGTTGTGTGTTATTTCAGTGCCTTTCTCTCTCGCACTTCCTCGAAGCACGTTGCCACAGCTCCACTGCTCCCCGGAGCAGGGCGTGCTCCCTCGGTAGCGTTACAGGAGGGCTCAGCACAGGCCTTCTGATGCTTATTCGGGCATTTATTTATTTCTAGCACGTTTGTTTATTTATTCGTAGTATACCCTGCTGCTGTGATCTCAAAGAGACAGTTGATGTTAAGAGAGATGGACGCATTCATGAATTTGGAAGGAGCCCAAAACTAGCTCAGGACTGTGATCTGCACCGTGTGTTCTAAGTGATTTCTAGTTTGAATCTTAGCATGGTACGTTGAAGGGTAGGTAGTGTTACGTATTTCACTGATAATAAAAGCGTTTTGTAGATGAAGTTGTGCTACGTTAGATTTGTATGATCTTACTCAGTGCCTCCCTTATTTTAGAGAGACTTACAGACATTTTTGGCTTGAAATGAGGAAGGTCTACGATCAATTTTATCCCTTTAAAATGTCACTGTTAGCATCGAACATCTTTGGAGATATGTGGGGCTTTTTGTTACAGATTTCCTGTAAGATTATACAGACGCTTGTCTGGTGGGTTCTTTAAACATTCATTGTGTCTTGACTTTAAAGTGATGTAATTAAATAACAGAAACAGTTACTATCTTAATGTACATCGGCTTCCTTGCTTAATGTAATTGCTTAGTGATGATGTAACAAGAGATGAAAGGTGCTGTAGCCGTACAAAATAGTTTGACGTACATGACATGCTTTTTCCATTGTTTTGTGTGACTTGTGTTTGGAGATGTTTACCTTGAGAGAGTCAAGTCAGTCTTACCTGAACTGAATTCCTGGCTGTAGCTGAGAACTTGTGAATAGAAGGCAGTTGTGTGAAATGTGTCAGATGTAAGCTTGTTGCCCTAAACATCAGTACTTCTCAACAAGTGACTCCAAAGGAGTTTATTTTTTCTTTTTTAATGACTTGCTGTCTCTGTAGATGGCATAGTTCTTCAACACACATGAACTATTAGAAAGTGCTGTTTAAATTGGACTCGCAAGTAGTGGGGGGGTCTGTAAAACATGTTACATTCTAGACTTTTGGATAGTGCACAAGTTGCCATATACCCAAAAAGCCTAAAGTGGTATCTTATATAATTGAATACCTCTGGTATATAATGCCAGCAGAGGATTAGAAACCAGGAACAGATTTGATAGCGATGTTTTTGTTTGATACTCTGTGTTTGATCATGGTGTGAAGGTGTGTAGTAGTAGTTACGGGTCAGCAGAGTCCAGTAGGGTTGCAAAAAAATTATTAGAGATGCCTTCTGGGAAAGTAATCTAAACATACTATCTTGAATATCGGGAAACTAGATAACACACAAATGCATGTAATGGACAGTTTGTGTTTATGCATTACGTGTTCTTGAAAATAGTTTGTGTAAATAGTGCTGTCTGCTTGTGAAGATGATCAAGTGTGGGTTCTTTTTTTTTTTTTATTTTGTATTAGTCATGCAGAGTTAGTACTGCTCCAAAAGAAGAGGTGAAGGGGCATCTCCCAAAGGGCCAGGTGGGAACAAGTGTTTGAAGCCTACCAGCCTGCTACCGCAGTAGGGACTGGTCAGCAGGAGTGATGTCAGCTGATTGAAGCAACAGCAGGTGGAGAAAGCTCTAAGGGGTACCCAAGAATTTGTCCTGCTTGCTTCACTAGCTTTTATTCATTCTACTGTAACCGTAGCAGTAGTAGAAAAGAGTGTAGGAGTGTATTAAATTAGTAATGGAAAAATATTTTAAATAGTTGCAGCTCATTACTGAATGTGGGTTGTTACCATGGGGCGCTCTGTTTGTTTCATTAAAAAAATGGAGCCTCAATATAGTAGCAGTGTTTTGTTTTGTTTTTTTCAATGAGTAATGAATCATTCTTTTGCAAAATGACAGAAAGGATACTCATTTTGGAAAAGCTGACAGTGTAAAAATTATGGTTGTTCCATTTTAGAATAAGCACTTATGGAAGATCCTTGTGAATTTGTTTTTTATTACGCATTCCCATCATTTTTCATGGTGCTCATTATAGTACTGTCATTTCCTCATATTTTAAAATCCCATTTGATTTCTTAATTTGTTCTTGGATCTTCAGCATTTATGGTAGCACTGATTCTGGAGAAGTACAACTGTGTTACGCTTCTCTGAAACTCATATATGCTTCACATTGTGCCCTGAGAGTTCCTCTGGTGAGTGACTATTACAGGAGCTTTGCAGATGCTTTTTGTCACTGACTAGAATATCCTGTATGTAATGTTTTGGTTTGTGGAGTAATGGTATCTCCAAGTGCAGCTGTTAGGAACCGACTGGCAGAGAACTCATACTTCATATGAGTTTCCTTGAAGTTGCATCACTGCATGATGTTGTCTTGGTGTTTTAGTAATTTGCGAAGACTGAGGAAGGTCACTAAATACAGGCTGGTGAGTCTGGAGTTTACCAGGCATGGTTACACTTTATGGCTCCATCAGGGAAAGCTTTTTCAGACTGTGTAATGGCTTTTTGATTAACTGGTGACTTTCTCTTCATCTGTAGCTTAATAACACCAACAAACTGAGGGTTTCAACTTCCTCTGAGGAATTGCCATTGCCATTCTGCTGCTAAACATTGAAATCATAAGTTGTATTTATCAGATTTTAAAATGGCAAATAAATTGCAAATATGCTGCATTAAAGGGATAAATTGTGCAGTTGTCACTTTGCACTGGATTAACTGTCAGCTATCCAAAGAGCAACATTTTTCCTGAATAAGCTGACATGAGCTTGTCCACTCAGAGCAGAAACTTTGTGCCAGTGGTTTCTGAAGTGGGCCATGATTAGAGATGAACAGGTTTTTTTAAAATGGAACCACTTTTCATGAACTGGGATAACAGTGGTAAGCACTGTAATCTTTTGGCAGACAGTAATTACATGCTTTTCTCAGTCTTTGCTTTTTCCCTTTAGCATTAGGCTCTTTTGCTTATATTAGGAGCTCTTTTTTTGAAATAACTCTGTTTTCAGTTAATCTTCTGAACAAGGTTATTCTGAATGAAAATTCTAAATGAATCCTTGAAACTACAGCATTAAAACCTTGTTTATTTCCCTCTCTTGCTCTCCGAATGCTCCTTTATTGGGTCATAGTCCCCCTGTGATTGTGCAGCTCCTTTTCTTTCTCAGGTGCTTTTGGGCCCATGGACTACTATTTCTGTGTCTCCTTTAGAGTTTGCTTTGACAGAGCACTGAACGTTAAGGAAATAAGATTGTGATTTCCAATGGGATTTTTTTTCTGTTTCTTCTCAAATACAAATACTACTTCTGCTGCTTTGCAGTAAATAATACCAATGGCTTGTTTGTAGCTTTGTGTTGTTAGAGCTGCAGTTTCATGAGACAGTTCTTAAAAATTGCTGGGTTGGGTTTTTCACTGTTCTGAGCACATTAACTTTTAGAACTTTGCTTTAATTATGGTAGCTTCCATACCTTCACTCGTCAGCAGTATTCATTTGTTGAAGTAAAAAGCAAGTGTTCTATTAGCTTAGGAAGTATATTTAGATTCTTTAATTTCAACTCCGTCACCGTTGCATAGCACTCCTGCTTCTTAGATCTTTCTTTTTAGTTAGGTATTTGAAAAAGCTTTTGCTCTCTTTAGTATATTTCATGAGAATACTTAATATTTGTGGAACTGTCAGAAATCAAAATGAGTTATTACTGTTTGTGCTTTATTAGCAACCAGTGATTAGTGAGATTTGCTGGTGAGGAATGTTTGGGTTTTTTTTCTGCTTCTTACATTCATCCTCCTTATTTATTAATATGTTTCTAATATTATTTATCGAAGTAACTTTCATTTGGATTCTTTTAGGTTTTTAGCCTGATTTAAAAAAATTCTAGCCTTCCTCTGTGTTATTATTCCCCTCTCCCACTGACTTCATTGCCTTTTTGTTCTTATGAAATCAAAGAGTTTAGCCACTAATTTAAATTGAATCAACTTATAACTGAAGTTGATCACACAGGCTACTACTATGTGTTCTATAAGACCTTTGGGTTTTATTGAAAATACTTAGTGCTATGTCTTGTTTGTTAAGAGAGAAAATACTGTAACGAACCTAGGTATTTATATACTCTAATATTGTGAAATTACATTCAGATTATATTTTATAATAAACAATTTACCATCAGTGTTTATCATATCACATGTCCAAGATAATTTCCAACAGCAGGGGCAGTTAGTGCTATTGCAGTATTCTGTAGAACCTCCTTTATGGTCTGCTCGATTCAGATTTTTAGAGGTCTGTAGCAGATAAAAATGCTACCTTTGCACATGGACAACTGAAACTGAAAGAAACTTTGGATGTTATGGACAAAAGGTGCAACTCCTTCCCAGGATGAAAATAATTTACTGCTTTAAAGATACAAACTGTCATGTTTGTGGCTTTGGCCTTAAAGTTCAGGGCTACTGGCTTTTATTCCAGTATTAATTGGGAAACTGTGAGGCTGGTTCTAACAGCCAGTGGCTCTAGAGCAGGGCTGTGCTTTTCTTTTGTTGGATCAAATGTACAGAGATTGTTTCTACACAGGTGAATTTTAATTATCTTGTGGTCTTACTTGAAAGAGAAAAGGAGAGAAAAGGAGCGTTTCAATCTATTTATAGCCTGTTCACACTGTAGTATCTGAATGCCTTGCATGTATGTGATGCCAAATACACTGGCATCAGAACAGGTGGTGCCATTGAAGGTGGTGAGTGATAGGGCCTTAAATTGTAGTGTAGCTTCTGTTTTACGTAAGACGGGTCACACATTTTTCTAGGAAGGGAAAAACAAAGAGAATCTTTAGTCAGGAGGTAATAGGAAGAAGAGTAGACAGCAAAGACTTAGGGAAGAGATAAAATTTATATATGCCAGCAGTAAAGACAAATGAGAGGGGAAACTTGAGGGAGCTCCTCACAGGTCTTCTGGCTGGTTTGGGGACTTCAGGTTTTTGGAATTAAATACAACAGAATGTCCCTTAGTTATATAATATAGCAAGTAACCCATTGTATAGTGTAAAGTAAGCATGTAATAGATGTGACTCAGTAATTCTGAACCATAAATGCAGCATATTATAACGTGCTTACCTTTTATTAACTTTTATAGTTTAGGAAGGCCAGTGTAACAAACTGGTTTTTGTGTAGTTGTGCTTTGTTTTGGGGTTCTCTTTGCTTATTTTCTGTGAAAATTCTGATGTTCTAGCATATGTTAAATTCTTTATAACATGCAGCACAATATTTTTTCCTGTAATTAGCAAGTTAAAAGTGAAGCACCTAAGAAATACTTCTGCATGCACATGAAGTATTTGGCACCTTATATTTTTCTAAGAAGTAACATCATGATACATTTAACATTAGGCTAATGTGTCTATTAGTAATAGAACTAGATCTCTTTAATACAGAACTGTATAACAAGACATTAAATACTTCGACATTCATCACCTCAAAAATTACATGGAATGGGAGAAATTGTGACAAGACCCTTGAAGGAATATTAAAACATCTCACTAAAGGAAGCTTATATTGAGTTTTAGTTTCAAAGCTGGCAGCAATAGTAACTATGGAATCATGTAATCTTTTATTTTGGAAGGAACCGCTGGAGGTCACCCCTTGCCCAAAGTGTGGTCAATTAGAGCAGGTTTGTCCAGTCAAATTTCGAGTATCTTTAGGCTGGACATTTCACACCCAATCTAGGCCACTGTTTTACTACTATCTGTTCTTCAACACCAGGGTCCCTTATTTGCATGTGATTCCTGTTGGAGGTGTGGATGCTCCTAGATTTGTGTGTACCCTATGCTGTTCCCTACAACGCCCTAACACACGTGCCAGAGTGCACCTCACAAGCTCGCATTCATGAATCTGAGGTGGGAGTTCTCCCTTCCTGCACCTTGCACTGACCACCTGCTAGCTGGAGTGCAAGACCTCCCACCCTCCAGGAGGGATGCTGTGCTCTCTGGCCTGGGCAGATAAAATGGTGCTGTCAGTGTGGAGACTTCTGACGGTGTCAAACAGGGTTTTGACTGATGCTGTTTCCTCTCCAAGGTCTCTCCCACTGATACAGACTTTCATAATTTTTTTTTAAGCTTCTTTTCAAGAGGACTCCTTTATTTCAGACATTTCTTTGTGTTTCTAATGTAATCTGATTATCTTCTTGGTCTTCAACATGACCAGTTTTGGGCAGATATCCTGTCAGACAATTTTGCATATTTGAATCACACACAAAAATTCCTATCTTCACATTGTTGTTATCTGGACCATTATGCCAAGGCTGAGCCTTGCAAACACCTCCCACTGTGTCCCCTGCCTCGCTAAGCAATGGCCCTGTAGTTTTCTTAGTCTTTCTTTTGTTCCCAATGTCCTTACAGTAGCCTTTCTTTTTGTCTTTACCAGCTTCTGCTAGTTTTGACTTCAGCTGAACTTTGGATTTCCTAACTCCTCCTTGTAGACAAAGGCAACGTCTCTGTATAACATCTCTGTATACCTTCTAGGTAGTCTGTCCCTGCTCCCTTTTCTGGATTTGGGCTTAATCAGGAGTTCTGTGCTCATCCTAGGTGAGAAGTGTGGCAGATGGCTGTCAGAGATGTCACACTTCCCTTCCTCCACAGTGACTTTGGCACAATTATGCTACAGTGAGACTGAGATGAAGCACCTTTTGCTCATTTAAAACATCAGCATCTAATTTTAAAAAAAATTCACTATGTATATACATTAGTACTTATTTGTTAGTCTGAACACAGTTATACTAAAAATAGCTGTATAACCTATTACATTCAGTTCCCCAAATCAGTTTGCCCATGGAGGGAGTCTCCCTGAATTAGCAGTTAGTTGTCTATTAGAAGTGCTATGTTGTTTAAAGGATGTCCAGAAGTGCAGTTCAAGTCTATGATATGTGCGGTTATTCTGCAGTTTTTACTTATGTTGTAAATATTTAGTTAAGAAATATAAATTAAGAGGATTTCACTTCATGCTTAATGACCTTTTTTAGTAGATAGGCTTGAGTTCTGTTGCTTGCATGAACTGATCTATTGTAATAACATAATTTTTTGATTTTTCTTTTTTTTTTTTTTTTTCTAATATATAACCTTGTGAAAACCTACTGCAGTAGGGGATTATTATTTTATGGTGATGCGACTTTTATTTTGGGCCCTATCTGCTTTTCTTATTTGAAGTCAATCAATAGAAATTACTGAAAGATGATGCTGTTTTTTGGAGACATTTCTTATGAATGTGGGCAGCAACCTGTAGCTCTGAGCTTAAACCTTTGCCCCAGAGATCTCCAGACTGCTTTCTGCATGTATATATCTAAATTCATCCGAGTACAAAACGTTAAGTTCACTTGCTTGTTTTTAAGACTAAAAAGACAGACTCTTACCACATATATTAACAGTGGCAATACGTGTCCCAGGCCTTACCTCAGTTTCCCTTAAAGAGTGAGGCTGGAATCTTCTATTTCTGCTGGAAAGTGTGCTGCTGACTAACACCAGAATTAAAGCCAAAACAAACAACAACCAAAAAAATCATGTTGTGGGGGAGTAACAAGTATATTGAACCATGAGCCACATGCAGATGGTTAAAAACACTCCCTGACAGGTGAGTTCTGTGTGTTGGCACAAATGCCTGTATTTTATCCAAACACTGCACTGCAAAATAAATGAGCAGTCTGTGGAGGAATGGATGGAATCCAGAGGGGTACTTGCATCCTCGCTTCCCCATCAGGAGTGTGTTTATTATTGGATGACAGAACTGCATCTTTCTTGGCCCCTTCAGATGCTGTGGTTTTATTCCTCTGCTACTCATCCTCAAACACTGCAAGTTCTCCTTTAAGGAGTCGTTGTGCACCAGTATTGAGTATGTTTGGTTTTGGTCTCAATAGCAACAGGAATTGAATAATATTATCGCAGAGTTGTATCTGTCCTATGTGGGAGCTTTTAAGAAGGTTGGACATCTAGTTTCAAGTCTGTTTTTTTTTTCTTTCACTAGGAAATATTCTATTTCCCTTGTCTAAACATATAAAAAGTAATAAAATACCTGCAGAATAACAGACTTCCTGCCTGTAAGGAAAAGAGAGGACTAGCAGCATAAAGTTGTGGAGGGGGAAAGAAGTGTAGAAGCTAAAAAAAAAAAAAAAAGCTGTGAGGCTACTTGGTATCTTTGAGCACCAGAAAGTACCCCAATATATTTTGGCTTTGTGATAGCTGTTTAAAAATAATAGTCAAAACTGCTTGTACAAAAATGCCCGTCACATTCTTTCCCCCCTGCTGCCCCTCTGATTAAATTGTAGGGACTTGTTGCATGTTTGCTGGTCAGATCCAGTATGAAAGATAGTTCTTGCACCAGTTCAGTTTCAAATGGATAGGCAATAGTAGTTCCCTTCTAGACCTTTTCTATTCTCATTAAGAAAATTTTGTTCTAAATAAGGTGTCTTCCTAAGCCCTATGTGGAACACTTTCGTTGTTTATATCAAATAGCTGGACTACCACCAAATTCTGATCTGACATTTGGAAGGACTTCAATGCCTGGAGGTAGGGTTTCTTTAGGATATAAAAAATAAAACTAATTTAGTTTATTTTTCTGAGTAATGTTTTGCTGTCTGTGACTGTGTGTTATGTTTTGGTTTAGTGGTGATATTTATAGTTTTGCAATTGATAATAGAGGTTTCTGGAAGAAGGCTAAGGAGGGTATTTTATGCATTATTCTGGGGATATGATGCTAGTATGTTTCTCTCTTCATTTCCTAAATTAGGAATATTGTTACGGAAAAGAGGGTTTGCCTAGAAATGTCTTTACTTCTATAGTAAAATTTCTACTTTAGTAGAAGATTGTGCTTCTCGTTCAGTTGCATCTGAATAAGAACAGCTGCATTAAAATGTAGGTGAGTCCCATCTACCACCTTTGATCCTTCGAAAAGTATGTCTGCTGATCTATCTTTTCTGTTTTGGAGAGAGTTCTAATGGTCGTGTAAGGTTAATTCTTGAACCAGTTGTTGCCTATAGATTTTCTTCATGTCCATAAAATTAAATGGATTTTTAGTTTTAGGAGCTGTGAAAAGTGACAGGGTACATAGGTAGTGTCACTGAGCTAGGAGCAGTTCACAGTTGTGCATAACTTCGAAGCTGTAGGTAAACTAGTGGGTTCAGTTCAGTAGAAAAATGCTGTGTAGCGCCTTGTAGGATGCAGTGGTGTTCTATAAAGCTGCCTCAAGATTTTGTGATAAAGTTTTACCAGAAATACAACTGCTGGATAACTTTGTGCCAATGGCATGTAGGCTTCTTGAGAATTATATAGCTAAAGAATTGGAGAACTTAGTACATTTGGGGTGTGGGTTGTTTGTTTTTAATTTCAGATCTGAAAACTGAGATTTTTCCTGTCTGTCTTTGCAAATACAGAACCAGAGAATAAAAATGGGAACTCCTGGATCAGGACGGAAGAGAACTCCCGTGAAAGACAGGTTTTCTGCAGAAGATGAAGCTCTGAGTAATGTTGCCAGAGAGGTTTGTAAAATTTTTTAAGCTGTGCATTAAAAACTGTAATTAGTCAGAAATATGACAGTTAATACAAACTAAGAGTATTTTTGATTTAAAAAAAAAAATCACATTTACTGAAACGTTGTCACAACAAGATATGATGAGTGTAGCTTCACAGGATCACACTTCAGCTTACCAGCTATTTCTCCAGATAGTTATATGATTAGCTAAAGATAAATGAGAAATCTAGTTGCTGTCTCAGGTCTAAAACTAAAAAATTCAACTTTTATCCTATTGCAGTACACAGTATTCTTAAGACGGTAAGTACAGTGTAGTAGTGTTGGATGAGTAAGTCACGTTTCTGTCAAAATAAGTCTGATACATACACTATACCAGGATTTTTTTTTTTACGGAGTCATCACCTGAAAAATAGAGAGCTGGAGGTAACCAGCAAGAAATGCAGTTAACAAGAAGTAAATAGAACGGGGAATTTTGTCCCTCCGGATATAGGAAGGAGGCAGCTGCAATTTGGAGTGTTGCAGATGTCTATTTGAACTTGAGTTTTTCTGGGAGGAAATGCTGTGACTTGGAAACAAAAGCCTTAGTACTGTTTGTATACAAGTGCATACAGAAGCTTTGAGCTACAAAGCTGCTCGCCCTAGTTGACATGAGTTTAAAACGCAGATTCTAACTAGACTTGTAATGTAAACTGTTATCTGTATGTGTGTGTATATATATGTGCATGTAAGAGAAAATAGGTAGGTGATAGGTCTTTGAAGACACAGCGTCTGTATGCATTTCAAATGTAGCTGTCATAGACTGTAGGCAAAGGAAATGCTTTGTCAGGGGGAAAAAAAAAAGTTGGTAACTTTCCAGAACGCTGTGTTCACACCAAATCTAATGGAAGTTCTTGCCTTACCAGATGTGTTCTTTGTGGGGCTCTGGATCATGTACTGTCTCACTCATCAAGTTTCATCTCCCATTTTTGGGGAACACAGTTAACAAAGGAGAAGGAATCTGGCTTTAAATTTTGTTCAAGTATTCTGTGTGTGGTTCCAGTACAGTAACATCAGCTTCGAACTTAGCCTAGGGAAAAAGGTGTAATTAATAAGTACTGTCTTACTTAAAAATACTGTGGTGCTTTGTTCTAACCATTTCAATTAAAATTTGAGCATGAGCATAAATTAAACAAAAAACAAAGGGCTGTTTTTCTCCCTTAATACAAAATTAATACTGTGTCTTGCAGCTAGAGGTGTTATCTCGCAGAGATAACAGTTGAGTATGTCTATTCCAGGGATTAATGTATATTAAGTCTTCCTTTCTCTTCTGTCAAAAATGAACTGCAAAGCAACTTACTGAAAAGCTCATAAAAGTTATTGAGTATTCTAATAGTAAACTAAATCTGCTAAAGATATTTAAAATTTTTATGCTGATCAGCATATCATTTATGGGCTAGGCATTTCATATGGTCTTTAACTGGTTTATGTCTGTTAATAATTCTTAAAACCTCTTAGAAATAAATTGTTTTAAATATTACTTCTGATTTTCTTATTAGAATTATTTTTTTCCCTTTCTAATAGTCTGGCATTTTTCTGTATTTTGAGGGTCACCTTTCATGGCTTGTTATAGGGAGAAGAGAATTCAGTGTATTTCAGAATAAAATGGCTTGTTACCTTTACATACATGTTTTTGAGGCAGTGTATAGCACCCTTTCTTCTTTTGTGTTGCCATATCTTGGTTTCACTTTAAGAGTCTTAAATTAAAATTGTTATCCAATTTTAAAATGGTGTGTAAAGTTGTCTGTTGTCATGAATATTGTATTATCACAATATGTACAACTGTCAGATTGTTAATCCCTTGGTCTGTAGGAGAAGCTGGCCCTCAGATCCCATGTCAGACAGCAGCTGTTGTCATTAAATTGGCAGCTGTAATTCATAGTGGTAGCCAACTCATCCTAAAGAAAACTTTTTATTTAAAGGAACAGAATGTATTTCTTAGGTTATAACAGCAGAGGCCAGTTAACAAAGCTTAAGTTCTGTCTTCAGCATCTGATTTTACCATCCCATACATATGCCTTATTTGAGACTGGGGAGAGTTTTCTGTTAATATGCTGACATAAGGCATGCCATTTTTCAGTGCATGAGTGTATAGAGTAGATGGGCTTTGCTGTTCTGAGGCCATTATCTCAGCAACATGGCTTTCTTATCTTTTTATTGTCAAAGGCTGTTTTGTTCTTCAACTTCCTCTTCCGAAATTACTTTTTTAGCAGATGTTACTTATAACAGTTGAGTCCTATAATTCAGAAGTCAGATGTCTTGTGAGAAAAATGTTCCTAAGAGGTGTTCTAGGTATCAAGAGATGGTAAACAGAATATGCTCAAACAAAAGGCTGGCACTCAGGAAGATCTGCATAGAAGTGCTCTGGGATTTAGAGCAGTCACAAAATGGCACTAGGAATTATCAGGGTTTGTAATACTAGCAAATACTTCTAGGGTAGTGTATGAAGTTCCAGGTGTTTTTCCTCCAAAAGTTCAGATTTCAGAAAGCACTAATCTTACTCTTTCTCACCACTCTGCTTTGACAAAATTGAGTTTTCCTTGTTCTATGGGATGTGTCAAAACAAAAAGGTGCTGTCTTCCTTTTGGTATCAAAACCCATCCGCTTTATAGGAAATTTTTTGTGAAGAATTCTTTGGTACTGATCCAATAAATTCTATATAGTAATTTTTATGCACTGGTTGAATCTGATGTCTCATCTTACAGGACAACATTTAATGGAATACAAGGGCACTATCCTAGGATCTGAGGGGCTTGGTCAGACTACTTCCTCCTTATGAGGTTTCTTTAATTTTCTCCATCTTTCCTCTGCATAGGAAAGTTTTTCCTCTCTTGGTTGTCTCCTCCCCTTCACTTCCTGTACCACTAGCACTGTTATATAGAAAGTTCTTTCATATCTTTTCCTTGCTCTGGAAGTTTGCATTGAGACAAATTCATCTGCAATGCCTCTGCACTAAATAAGGCACAAGTATGCTAAAACATCGACATTGGAGTGAATTACTGCCTTATTCCAAGAACTTCAGAGTTTCCAGACCTCTTTCTTTGAGACCTACTTTGTATTCTGTTTGTGTATTGTACTCCCTGGCACTGAATTCCTTGTGCTCATTGAAACTGAGGAAGAGTAAAGGTGATATACATACATAGGGACAGGGATCTATGCATTGTTTTCTGGAAGCAATGCTCTTGTCATATTATTCAGTATCTTAACTGATATTAGTTGTAGCTGGTCAGTTTGAAAGTCTTACCTTGATAGCACAGAGAGGATTACCAGTTTATCATGTTTGATTCAAAAGCTCTAGAAACAGGTGTAGGTATATTGTCCAGGTGTTCCCTGCAAGGAGAAATGGAACTCTCGAGTATAAATGCATCTAGTGACATTGAAGTGCAGTGTTAGCAAGTGTCTTCAGATTATAGCAAGGTTAATTTGAAGTCATCTTATCTCTATTAAAAAAAAAAAAAAAGCTATCTCCTGAAAATGAGGAGTTTCTTTATACCACTTTGATTTCTTCTGCATCCATTACAACAGCTAGAGAAGTTGTTAGCTTTCTCAAATTGACAAAGAATACAAGCCAGCTGGTGTGGAAGACAGTTTCTTCTCTCTTGTGGAAAGTTCTGCCTTTCCAAACAACAGATAGGGATTGTCAAGTGTGACTTCAGGTTCCTGTCAAGATTAGATTCTTATGTGGGAATCTTTTTTGTTTAACAAAGAACTAAGTAAAAATTGAAGTTCATATTCTCAAGGTTATGTTCGCAGTCTATGCTGGATACAGCTGATAAGATCTCGAGATCTGTTTTTCCTATGGTATTGTATGGAGAGTCTGCTTATAAAGCTGTTTTGTGGACCAGAGTATCTTAAGCTGACAACTGCATCACTGCTTTGCTTGTCTTTGTAATTTACAGACAAGTTGTTGTGTTCATTTTAAATGTCCAGCAGTAACCTGTCATCACCAGGCATCTGTTAACGATTACTTGAGACCTCTTTCTCCAAGACCAGCCCTATATGCAAGAGCAGAGGTTTCAGTTACTTCTGCGTTCTTACATTAACTTCAGTTCAAACTCAGATACAATGAACATCGTGCCAGAAAGTGAGAAGAGTCTGAATTTTGTCACCTCACCAGCCTCAACCTGAGAAACAGCAGTTTGAATCAGGGTTTACCTTTTATATCCTTTCTTTTTATGCTTGCATCAGCAACCCTTCCATTCTTCAGGGCTGAATAATTCTAGATGACAAAGAACTAGAACTTATGGACAACAATTGCATCACGATTCACTTGACTCCCTCCTTGTAGCATCTTTTTTTGTATTTTTTCAGGAACTGTTCTCATAGTTCTGTTTTCATTGAATAGCAGGAGCCTGGAAACACTTTATCAGTTTGTCATGAGAGAGAATAGAGATTTGTGTGGATTTAAAATTCACTGTGTAGTTGCTCAAACTTTGGGTATAGTGCAGTTGTTCTTACTTTGGTCAAAAATGTCATGTTACTTAATTGCCAGGGTAGAAAAAGCCAAAAGTTCAATATTTTAAAATGCATGAAGGCTATATCATGAATTTTAAGAGAGTTAACAACATAGTCTGTCATACTGATTTTTTTCAAAGTTCAGTACATGTTTCTCTCTTCATACAGCTTCAGCTTTTCTTAAGAAAACAAAATCCCAGAGAACACCCTGAGTTTGTAGATGCTCTACAGAGTTTGTAGATGCTTGATGATTTTTGAATTTGTATTTTACGAGACCACTTAAATATTTAAATCAGCTATTTCTACTTTCAGTAATAATTCAGAATTTTGCTTGTTGTTGTTTTTTGATAATGGTTAAAGATATTTTATAGGAGATAAAGTATTTAGAGATTTTTGTAATCTATATATGATCTGTATAATAAATGGAAAAAGAATAAGTTACATCAGAAATAAGTGATCCTAAAACTTTAAGTCATGTAAACCTTAAGACTTTGTTGTTTATAGTGTTTTCTTTGTAGGCAACTAGAGAAAAGAGCGGGCACATCAGAAATAAGTGGAAGGAAGATATTTCTGAGGAGGTATAAGAAATGCATTTGGCACAGGAATGATGGTATTGCTTTGAGTCCGTGAGACAGTAAGGATATGCGGAGTCTGAAAAGTGTGGAAATGAGAATACAGAAGAAAATGAGCAACAGAAGAGAGAAATAATGCATGTTCACTTAAGTGATGAAGTAAACTTTATATTGCAGTGTGTAGTAGTGTATTAAGGAATAGGGTGAACGCTGTTAACATGCTCATCCTGATGCTCTGCTGGAGCTGGCAGAATGTCCTTCCCTCTGTTCTGTCCAACACCCGGTGGCAGAAGGGCAGCCAGGTACCAATGGCGGGGCACCTGGTGGAAGACAGAAAACCTTACTGGCCTGGGCCTCTTGCCTTGGAAGCTGTGTGAGTGTAAATGCTGTGTATCTCTTGACAGAGGAATGAGTTGTATGTATTGTAGCCCCTGATGACAAAATAATTCTGAGTTTTCAATGTAAAGCATTTGTATTTTTTCAGAAGTGAATAACATCTTGCAATATAGGCTATATTTTATCCTTATGAAGCTTTTATGCTGAATCTGTGATAATGAATCACCTTCTCCACAACATGAGAAATAAAATGCTATTGCTTTCTAGTGAATTCCTTCTTGCAAGTGCAGGGAAGGAGAAAGATGCCTGTGTACACTATGGAGACAGATGTTATGCTTCTCCTTGCCAACATGTATGGAAACTTCTACCATATCAATTCAATGTACAATTCTCACCTTGGTGAAGAACTTGATCATGGCTGTGAAGAGACTGAGAAAAAATGCATCAGAAAGGAGAGATTCCAGACTCAAATCTTTACAAAGGCATTCAAATAAAAATATGGTCTTTTTCCCTTTCTCCTTTCTTTTTTGCCAAAAATATATTGGATTTAACTGAAGAACTAGATATTATCCTTGGAAGTTGGTTTGAAAGCTTTTCAGAAGATTGTGGTAGACTATGTATTTAAAAAAAAAATTTTAAAAATGGAGTAAGCAGAGATGGTGTTCTCAGTGACTCTAAGTAGTTTTAGTAATTGTTTTTAGGTGAAAATGAGGAAACTGACCTTGTCACCTGTAATCAAAGGAGAACATTCTCGTTACCCCCATGTTCACTAAACGTATTCAATAAAATAACCTCATCAAAGTGAGTGCTGTTTCAAGGTAGTAGCTTAACTGCTTAAAACCAGCCAGAATCATCATATTCTTCTAGAATGAAATGCTGTTTCTGCAGGTGCAAGGAAATATTACTACTTTTCTGTTGCATGTAATGCTTTTTTGGTACCTATTTTGAAATGAGAAGTCCAGAACTCAGCAGAAAACAGATGAGTTTGTTACTCGGAGCAGAGCTAATACCCCCAAAAATGCAGATACAGCATTTGGTTTAAAAATCACATATTTTCCTTAGGGTAGAATGTAGAAGAAAAGGAATAGTATGTGTGTTCTTATTAAAAAAAAAAAAATCACAGATTTAGTTATAAATGAATCCTTTATTAATCCGTCCTTTTTTCCTGTCCAAACAAAATCTTGAGGGCCTCTTCCATGTGTTTCTTTCTACCCAATCTCTTTTGTTACGAAGATTTTTCTCTGTAGTCTTCTGTTTCCTTTCTTGATTTTCCCTGAATGAATTCCATGCAAAATTGCTGTATCTATATCTAATGGCTCCTATTTGCCCTCCAGAATATATAACCAAACCATTTCTTTCCATTTTAGCCACCAGTGTAAGTGTATTGGTAAGGCTCTAACAAGTTTGGATACCTCCTATCTTATTTGCAGTTGAACTGTTCAAGAAAATTTAGCTATCACATTTCTTTTTAGAAATGGGAAGTTCCCTTTAGAAACTGCTAAAATAAAGTATCAGATTTGCTAGATCTTGGGCAATCCACAGTTTAATTTTTACTTCAGGAAAATATGTCATCTTTCTTAAGAAGCTGTACTTCTAAATAGATGGTACTGTAATATATCTTTACTGTAAACATATTTTGTCTAGTCTAAAGACTGTATAGAGAACAATGAACAATGAAACTGAAATCAAGGCTGTAGTAGCCAATCTGAGGTTTTCTAAGACTGGAATCTGTTTAATGAAAGCTGTAGAAAGTAACCTGGACTGAATCCCAAGCTCCTACATCACTATTCCATGCTTGTATTTGGAATGTTCTTCAATTCCAATACTAATTTAATTAGAAAAGCATTATAACATGACTGTCTGTGCTTTTGTTGTTTGTTTTTTTTTTCCAAAAAATAAGTAGTCTAGATTTTTCTGTGCTGCTTCTATAGTCCCGACAGCTTAATCTTTTCAATTTGGTTCTTTATCCAAAGCTGTTGTGGCACTGTATTTCCCTTAGCAGATATTTAAAGCTTTATTTCAACATAGCTGAAGAATTTAATTTGTGAAGAGTTTGTTGGAGGAAATCTGTCTCACAACTTTCATAGGCTTCCTTCAGTAACACAGTACAGTGAACAGCACCCAGGAAGAAAACAACATCCTTTTGAATTATGGCTACTTCTTCATTGATGTTAATCTTGAATTTTGATTATGTAGTTATCAAGATTCGTATGAGTGCTCTATTAATAACATGAGGTCTGCGCTCTGAGCAGACATTCTTTATTCTGCTGAAAATAAAAAATGATGCAGTATGATGGCCTGTCAGATGGTAACGTGATTTGTCTCTTGCTCTGAGGCTTGGTGAAGGAAGCCTGAGAACCACACTTTCGGTTAACTTGCAAACTTCTCTGTCTTTTTGAAATAGTGTACTTTTTAGAGGAATCTATTAATTCAGATTAATAATTAATGTGATACCAAACCATTTTTTTCTAACAATTTTCTTCAATTTCAGGCACCTATTTGATGACAAATATTTGTAGAATTTTCCAGTATTTTATCAATGGTTTAGTAAATTGAAAGAACTGGAGTTTCCCCTGTACTGCAGAAATGTGAAAGTTTAGGTCTCTGGCTGTAGGACTAGGAGAGAATGATGAAATGTGAATTCCTTTTTAGTGTGAATCAGTAAAAGAATGAACTTTCTTTAACAATGAAGTGTTGCCAAAATCTAAGGGCTAGATGCATACATCTGCTGATCTATAGACCCAGCTGAACCCAAACATTATCAGCTGTTTGAATCCTTTCTCCTGGGCTACATATGTATCTATGTGAAAGTTTGTGTGCCACAGAGCTGTTATTACAGACAATTACAGAGTAGGGCTGCAAGCGAGAAAAGACTTCCGGTTGCATGGGAATTCCCTTGCTTTTCTTGTGTGCTGTCATCAGGTAGGAATTAAAATAGCTTTATGCAGCTCTGAAAAACGATTACATCGTGGCAGTCAAGAGTGCTGACACAGACTTGGAATCATTTCATCGGAGTATGCAAAATATAGAAAATCAGTCTTAATGAGTCATTTGAAGACAAACACAAACTATTTTAAGTAAAGTTATAACATGTTTGTCTGTCTTGTCATTATTTGGTAGATATTTTTGTACCTGTAGGTAAATCATTATTGAAACTCTGAGTTAAATACCCATTCCTTTTTCCTGAAGTGCAGTAAAAGATAGTTATTTGCAATTGTCATGAATTTTATAGGATACTGATGATTTACATGAACCTATGCTGTGATAGTGGCAAAACCAGAAAAATACCCCATCTTAACCAAAGGCAAAAGCCCATTGAATTTTACATTTTTAAGAAGTTCTATAAAATTAAGTGTTTTGGATGTTGGGAGTTACAAATTTTTGGCTGCTGGTGTTTCTCATGAATTTTTAATTAACCTTAGATAGACAACTGGAATTTTTGGTGGAAAAAACCTGTCTTCAGTGGTTTAATATTTCAAAAATTTAAGAGAAAATTTTCATCAACTCATTCAAACATGAAAAAATTGAGTTTGTGTTTTCCTCAACTATTAGCTTTATGTCAAAAATTATTACCTCGTGTAATTAACTGATTAAATCTGAGTTAGCATTTCAGATCTGAAAGATGGTGTGTTTCTGTTTTGGTTGAGGCTGGATAGAAGGTGGAAAAAATACATAGTTGTATCTGACAATACCCAGGTTTCACAAGCAGTACAGATGTAACAGCTTTTTGCCACTGAAAAGGGCAAGGTCTTGCTAGTGTTTGTCCTGCCTGTCCCTTTTGCTGGGTCTGGTGTTTATGAGATCTTGTACAAGCCACAGCAGGAAACTCGGAGAACTACTTTTTGTTTTTAACTTTCTGCTGTGGTAGTTAGTTATATTGACTTGGGCAGGTCCTGATTGCTGGAGCTGTGTCTGAGGAAGGTGGTGGGAGTATAAGGGATTGAATGGAAAGCTAGGAAAGTCCCTTTTTGGTGATGGTGAATGTTTGAGGTAGCTCCTCAGAAACTGTGAACTATTTCTTTCCTACATTTTGTCCAGTAATGGATTTTAGTTTGATTGCTGTTTGAAGAAATTCAACATCTAAGAGATGTTTGTTTTTTGACATAAATCCAAATGATAGCAGACCCTTTAAATACAACATGGACAGTAGTGGTTTAATATCTTTGTTTTGATCCTTTCTGTTGTTTTAATGTCTTTCTGTGGTCAAAGATTCTGCAGCTGCATACATGCCTGTTTAAATACTATTCATAGGCAAAGTCCTATTAAAGTCAGGAAGACATGAATTTTTAGATTTAGTGATAGTAATATTTCTGAACTCAGTTCTTTTACCAACATGTAATTCTTTTGACTAGTAATGATATCTGTAAAGAGTTATGTATATATCCTTTCTGAAACATTATTCTGAGAACCTTGATTTCTTTACTATTGATATATTGTGATGTTAGAATCCTAATGTGTTTTTGTGAAGAGATTGAGTATTCTATTCAAACCATTATGCAAAAAATGTGGTTTTTAACTTCTAGTGTTTTCAATTTGTTTGTAGGCAGAAGCCAGGCTTGCAGCCAAACGGGCAGCTCGAGCAGAAGCAAGAGATATACGTATGAGAGAGCTAGAGCGACAGCAAAAAGAGGTAGTGTAAATTATCATGAATTACTGCAAACCTTTACTAAAATTCTTAATGTATTTTATTTCTGTACTTGCATCAGATTTTGTACTTCGGTGTAATTCAGGTGCATGCTGATATTTTCAGCATCAGGCAACTGTTTTCTTCTGTCTCTTTCTCCATACACTCCTCTTTCCCCTCAGGTTGTATATCTAAAAGGATATCTTGTTTTGTATTTACATTCATTTTGACATGAAAGAAATGAACATTCATTTTGAACTTCCTTAATAGTTACGCTCATATTGTGGAAAAGAAATCGTCTATACAAAATAGACTATTAGTATTCTTGCTTTCAAATTAAAAATAGAACATTCAATGATTTTAAATTTTAGCTTTACAGGCAAAATCAAACGTTTGGATGTTTTACCTTTAACAACTGCAGTAAATCCAATGCTAGCAATCAAAGTTGGACAACGATTAATCTAAATGTTTAGATATTTAAAGGACTGAGGCTTTCTTATTATTGAATTTTAAATGAGCAGAAGAGAGAACATAATGACAATGTCCAGAACTCAGGCTCGTATAAATAATTTTGCATAGAGGGTAAGAGTTTTCAACTTATAAAGTGAAGTTTAATATTGCCTGGATTTGAATTACTAGATTTGTGGCTGAGTCAACTGGTGACTTTTGTGCTTTTATAAGAACAATAACTTAACACGTGGCATTTTCTTTGCCTGTTGTTGCTGTGCAAAAAGTCCATGCAAATATGGATAACTAGCAGCATAGCATAAATAGTAAACATGACTGTATCCGAAGTGTACACTGCCTAATGTATAGGATAAACAGCTATGAAAAAGTAAAATTATTTTGCTCAGGTTTCAGTGTATTTATAATATCTGGGTACTCTGGATATGTGACTTGAGATAGGCAGTTTTCAGTCAATTTCTTCCCATTTGGATTATACCAAAAGTATTCTGTTCACAAGAAATAGTTATTGTCAGGACCTTTATTAAAAAAAAACCCTAAATTAATAGAATTGGGGTAATATTTACATATACGGTTGTGTGTTGCTTCACACATTTCTCCTAAAAAATGTTTGCATTTCTTGAGCAAAAACCTTAGGAACCAGATTTTCAGTAGTCTTTATTTCATGGTTATTGCATTTGATTCAGGTTTTGACATAGCATGCAAAAGATGGAGAATTTGTTATTTATCACGATTACATTCAAATCTAAATGCTGATATTTGTGGTTTTTTTGCTGTGGTAATAAGTGCAATTTACAAAACGTTTTTCCCTCAATTTTATATGGTTCTTATTTTCCATAATTTCAGTTTTCTAACTGCTGTAGGTGTCTCATACTGAAGATTATATGGTGATTAATTTAGTTTTTTTTTTTCCAAATTTTTGATTTTTTTGATCAATCTTGGGTGATGACTAATCTATATTGTAAATGGTTTGTTTTTGTTTTTACATTCTGTAGTTTTCTCAGCATTCATATGATAGAAAATGGGCTCATATCCAGAAATGGATGGTAGGCTAAAACCATCTGTTGTGCATGTTTTTGCCACTCAGAGAACTAACAGGATTTGGAGGAAGTAATTTACTAATGGTTTGCTGTGTGTCATTTCAAAGTGTTTTATTACTGAAAACAATTACGTATAAACTATATATGGATGTGGATATGCAGGGTACTTTATGGCGGCAAAAGACAAACTATGAAGCGTGATGCTTTTCTTAAAATGAACTGGTTTTGTTTCCATCATGTGCTGGCTTACAGTCATGAACCTATTTAAAATAAATTCATTTCAGTCTAGGTAAACATCTTTTCAGTAGTGAATGTATTTATTTAAGTTAAATTCTGGAGTTTGGGGTTTTTACTTTTTTTTTTTTTTTTCCCCTTAGCAGACCTGCATTTGTTTCCTGTTTGAGAAACATAGTAAACACTTTTTTTTTTTTCCCGATGATTAAGTCACTTTTATGACTTAGAAAAACTAATTGTAAAAGATTAAAAAAAAAACCCCAACCAAACACAAGATTAAAAAAAAAAAACCAAACCCAAAAACTCACCCCATGAATCACTTACATCGTTTTATCCCTTGCCCCTTGTTTTCAATTAATAATGATAAAATATTTATTCATTTATTTAGATTAAATCCACTAAGTAGGAAGGAGTAGAGATAATTGAGTTACAATCTGAGAAAGCTGCTGTTCAGTTTATATTAAATTAGTGCAGTGTTTCTTTAGAGAGTCCCTCTCACAAACTTCATGTGCCTCTTAAAAACGCAAATGGAAAATGTGAGTTCCTTTTTATGTTTTTAGAGAAGTGTTCACTGTGTGAATGTTTTTGAATCAAGAAGACTGTGGTAATACATGCTGAGACTAACTATAATTTCAAATAGTTAAAACTACCATCACAGTTAATCAGCACGTATGCTGAGAAATCCTAGAACTGCCATTAGAATTTTATTTGCAAAAGTCGTGCTGACTTTATGTTGTCTCTTTTCCTAGCTTACATTTGTGTGTATGTTAGTTCTTGTGTCACAAAGAACAACATAGGTTTCTGTTGTCTCTTGGTAGCATGCACATTTGAATGCTTTTTTTCTGGAGAGCAAGGGTTTCCAAACTGTGGAACACAGGTTGCATTTGTAAGCGATCTCACTTTGAGCATCTGAGCAAATGAGCACTCCTTTCATGGATTGGGATTGTTGTAGATAAAGTGCATATTTCAAACTTAAATTCTTACAAATCAAGCTTGATAGCTACTAGCAGCAACTATCTGTTTGCAGTATGTACTACAGTACTTTATCCTTTGACCTGAATATGCCGAACACTTAACACTGGCTTTATATTTTCTGATGATATGTCAGGAAGAGACTTGTTACCCTAAGTAAATTACCTACAGAAATATGCAGAAAATGGTTTCAGCAGTCGAAGTTTTTGCATTATAGGAGCATATTATTAGCTGGGGTGTTACACTGCAGTTAAGAGGAATCTTAAATGAATAGCAAACTGCAAATATTAACAGGTATTTTGTCCATTTAAACCACGGGCACAAAGTATATTAAAATTGACAGTGATCTGACTATAATGTGTTGAAAAGTTATATAGTATAAATGTTATTTAAACCTCAAAGTAGACACTATCAAGAGGAAGACTAAAATGTCATTATGAAATGAACCTTTTTTCCCCCTCTTTGGGAAATTATTTCCTTGCAGAGTATTAACTAGGCCTCTTGAATAGTCACAAAATTATCTTAAACAACTTAATGTATCCAGTGATAACGTAGACAATAACGATGTGACCATAAACAGTATAAAAGCCAGCTTTAGACTTTAGATACCCATCTATGATCTGGAAGCTGAGCTTTTAATTCTAACTGGCTTACAATCTGTAGAATAGTTTGACATGTTGAAAACTGTAGGATGTGAGTCATTTAAAGAAGGATTCCTAGTTTTAGAGCCCTGTTGTAGCCTTCAAATTGGACAGTTTAAAATGAAAGTTATCCTTAACATGTGAGAATTTGAGAAGCTTATGGCATGTGAAACATTTTAATGTTTAATTTTAAATTAGTTGAATTTTTGTTCTGCTGCTTCTGACATATTCCTTTGTGTGAGCCAGAATGAACATTCTCTGATCTTTCAACATAACAGAAGATGTTAAGTGCCTTAGCTAGTTGTCTTCCCCCAAATTTTATGCAGACTTTATTATTTTTACTGTCACTGTAGAGGAGAACTACGTATAGAATTTATAATTGATCAATTAGCTTAAGAAGCTTTGTTCCTATAATAGAGGAGAAAATCTGAAATATGTATGAGGAACCTGAGAATGATCATCTCTATTAGGGCTAAAATAACTGCAAAATGTTCACAATCTGACTGTGGTAATTATATAGAAAATTTCTTACTAATGTAATTTTGTAAAGCTCTTTTTTTAACTTTCATTTCTTAATTTCAAAAATACCTTTTTTTTTTTCATTAATACAGTAATCAGAAGAAAGATTGACTACTGAACACAGATTATTAATTATATTAACCCACCCTTATTTATATCTCCTAATGTAGTGTGTTGGCATACTTACACAAATCAGGTGAAATTGCAGGTCTTCTGACTTGAATGAGTTCGCTTGGCACAATGGATTATTGAAAATAATACACAGCATTAAAAGTGATAACAGCATGCTGCTTGCTTTTACTTTGTCATCTCTTTGTTTATTGGGTTTTGGTTTTGTTTTTTTTTCACCCCTATGAACTAATTCTGCATTTCTTCTTTCTCAGGAAGATTCAGAGAGGGCCAGGTATTCTCACCGGTCCAGTCGACATTCTTATTTGGTTTGTGTTCAAACTGTATACTTTTTCCATCATAGACTTTTTTTTTTTTTTTAAAAAAAAAAAAACTTTAAGTCCTCCAAATACTAGCAGTTTTAGAGTCAGTATTTTAAGTCACATATAGTGTTAAAGTTCATCTGGTATTTTATTTTCATCAATGTTAACAAAGTAGTTTATATAATTAGATATTTGCATTTAAAAAGAATCTTTATTTTCACATTTTTCTTTGACTGTGTTTTTACTACACATACCTCATGCTTTTTTTCCTTTTCTACATATAGTTATTTACAGTATATTTTCATTGATGAAAATAAATAGGTGTTTGGAAATGTACGTAGTTCAACAATCTATTATTTGGAATAACATATTTAATGTCAAGTTTTAAGTGTCATCTTTTACTGTTATTCCAGTCTAATATAATTTATTTTTTAAAAAAAGCTGAATAATTGTACTTACTTAGGCTTCAGATATTGCCAACTAGTAAGAATTAATTGGCTTGTATTCAAATGATAGAGTATAAAGATGCCTACATAAGTTGTCAATTCTCTTACTACTGCTATGCATCATGATGTCTCTTGGTCAGATGTGAAGGTGATATTAATGAGCAAACACTGGTCTATTTTAGATGTCTAATGGAAAAAAAAAAGCACACCCCTCTTTTCCATTTTCTCTGACTCAGAAATTCTGCAAACAGGCAAATT